TCTTAACAGTTTCTGTTTAATTTCTATTGATTACATTATTTATTTGATTAATTTTGTATGGTTTTAGTTATTTTTCTCATTTTCATTATTTTTTATAACTATTTTTTTTTCTAAAATAAGAATAACTTTAAAAAAGAAAAAAAATGGAGGTTGAAAGTAATTCAAAAAATTTAAATAAAAATTTCAAAAAAAAATTAAAAAACAAAAATTCATCAGAAATAATCCCAACTTTCATTTTGTTGCCTAAAACGGGCATTTCCGTTATCCCCCCGTTAGAAATTTAACGGCGACCCAAAACTGGCAAATTTCAGTAAAGTTGGGATTATTATGCATCACAGTGAAAGGTGAGATTATTTTTGAAAAACCGAGTAAAGTTGGGATTATTTTGGGTAATTTTTCCTTAATTAAAATGAATCCTATTCAATTTACTTCGTTCGGCTATATCATATAATCTTATCTTATATTTTATCTCCTTAATAGGAGTATTGTGACACTACAATGCCAAAGTTTGGCGCTATATATTTTTATTTACCATGTTTTTGAGACTATATATTACATTTTTTGGATTATATGTCATGTTTCAATTTAAAAAATATTAAAATTTCTATTTTTAATAGATTATATATGAAACATATTTTAATGAAATTTACGAGCAGAATCTCCGTGAATATTTTATATAACCATAAATATGTGTGCGGATTAGCTAACGCACGGACGATATTTAATTAAAGTTGTCGTGTTACGTTACGTGTGCGCGATTGGATGGAAAGTAGTACGGAGTAGTAAAATACACGGAGTACTCATCTGCTCTATATCCACTACTCTAAAAAATAAAAGAATTCGGGAGTAAGTAATTTGTACCTTAAAAATTACTCCTTGGTCCTCAATTTAATTATAAATTGAAGTTTACAAGAAAATAAATTATTTTTTAAAATTATTTTATTTACAAATTAGTATATTAACAAGAATGAAAAATTACATATTAAAAAATCACTTCAAAAGTTCTACAAAATAAGAGGTGACAAGAATATTTTTTATCAAATACTTAATGAAATTCCGTAAATAAACAATAATTATCGATATGAGAGAGAAAAAAACTGCAATCAAAATAGGGACGGAGGGAGTATTTTATAATCTAAAGGTCTGTATCAATATTTTGTGTTAATGTAATGCTAGTGTGATGGTTTACAATGATATAAAATGTCAGTGTGAATTTTTTTATTACACTAGTATTTTGTACCGGTGTAAACCGTGAAAGTATTAGTACATCTCTTTGGGGTAAACTTGAAATATTTCTTAGTGTATCCCTACCATAATTGAAAAGAAAACTACTCCATGTCTCCATCCCACTCTCATTTTCTCTTCCCTATGTTCAAACATTTTCTTCACAATTTGACTAAGAATTCCAAAAAAGTATATCAAATTATCACATAAATTTAATATCGTTTAATTTATTTTATTTGAAACATAATTTCAAACTAATATACTTTGTATTTTTTGAATTTTGTAATATATATTTATATAAAAATAGAAATATTGATGGTCAAAATGTTGTATTGATGATCGTGAAAAGTCGAAACTAAAATGAAATCATGGACAAAGCATGTATTTGTCATAAGTCATGTATATAAAAATGTAAAATGGATTAAAATATTTTCCCCCCTTAAAAACTCTCCAGTTTGAATTTTTGATTGATAATGTTTTTCAATTTTTGACTAAAACTATAAATATAAGTATATTTATGTATATTGAAAAAAGTTGATACAATTCTATTCACTTTCATATGTAGTTTTGAAATTCTAAATGTTTATAATATTTACAATATTTGTATAAATCTATATTTATTAATGATTAAAGTGTATTGACAATTGATCAAAATAATCGAATTGGGAAAATATTCTTAAAACGGAGAATCATAGAAATTATACGGAGTGCTATTTTTCTGTACCAAAAAACTCTTCTATTGTTTTTTTAAATAAAATGGTGTAAGGTTTTAAAAGATTTTGTTACTCAAATATTTGATCCAAAGGTAAAATAAACGCAATATATGCCGTACAACCGATTGTACGATGCTTATTATACACCCGCGACAAAGACTCATTTACAAACAAGTGAATGTTTATTCTTGATTGTCTGAATACTCATTTTTCTAAAATTAAGTACTCCCTATGTCTCTGAATGTTTGTCCATTTTAGGCTTTTTTAGTCAAAATTGGAAAACTTTGGTTTCAAATTAAATAAAAATGGTATTAGATATTGATACAAAAATAGTTTTATAGATTTATTATATCAAATATTTTTAAAATACTATTTTATCTAATTAACATACAATATATATTTTATTTAATTATAGGTTAAAGGTTGCAAACAATTAACCAAAAAAAATTAAAACTAAACAAATATTCTGGGATGGAAGTAGGTGATCGGAAAATAGATGATTAAAAAATTAAAACTGAACAAATATTCTGGGATGGAAGTAGGTGATCGAAAATAGAGGATTAAAAAACTGAGGAAGTACCCGTTAGGTATTACAAAAGCCCCCATTCGTGTTTAATTACTCCTATATCATCAAACTAGTAAGTGTTGTAACAATAAAGAAAAGGTTGTTGCAAAACACGTTATGTCTGTTTCCGACACTCCCAATAGCACCAGCCACGGCGGCGGCGACCACCGGAAACACGATTGTGGGTGGTCGAAAAAGGTGATATTGAGGGATGGAAGAACTCTGGCGTACATAGAAAAAGGCGTTCCCAAAGAACGCTCCAATTACAAAGTAATCGTCGTTCACGGCTTCGACAGCTCCAAGGACATGAACTTCGTCGTCCCCCACGTAGGTTACCTCTTATTATTATTATTATTATTATTATTATTATTATTATTATTATTATATTAGTCTTTGAATTATCTGCATTAATATATACTGTTATGTTATATTCGTATTTGGCTCGTGAAATAGGAAACGGAAGAAAAATCTCCTTCTCTTCTTTCATCACTAAAATAGAGCAAAAGTTGTTTTTTTTTCTCAACCATGCTACGGGTACACCAAAAACTATATCCCAAGTTCTACCCATGAAATGCATCGACATTCTAACGGTTCACACTGACATTATATCTCAAGTTCTACCCATTAAATAGGACTAAAACATAATGACTTTTCCAATATAGGATCATATGTTTTTATTTCGCAATGTAGGACTTTTGGTCATTATCATGTAGTCATTATTCAAGTAAATGTCCATTATTACTGGACATTATTCTTCCCATTAGGTCATTATTAAGTCCTATTTAGAGAATAAAAAAGTTTAAGTCCTACATTGGGAAAGGCATTATGTTTTAGTCTTATTTGGTGTAAATTTTACTTGATTTATTTCTTTCTTTCTATGAATAAGAATCCTCAAAAATATAATATTTGATTGGAGTATTTTTTTTAGATAAATTACATAATTAGTTCTTTATAAAACGAAGTATTTTTTATTTAGTCATCTATTATCAATAATTACTCTCGTAGTCCTTTTTTTATGAGTACTTTTTCACATTTAATTCTTTTTTGATTTTTTATCATATTGATGTTAATTTGAGGGCTAAAAATCTAATTTTACAATGATCATATATCTTTCTTGTCATACACAATTCTAGAGACCGCTCCTCATGCGTCGTTTGTGAATTGCAGTCACTTTCTACTACAACCATAGTCATTATTATTGTATTATTTGTCTAATCAACATTAGAATACATCACTGAACATAAAATAAATGTTAAATTATACTTTTAATCCTCAAATTAACACCTACATGACAGAATGTCAAACAAGTGACTATTTGGAAAAGGTATAAAAGAATGGTCACACGGATAATATTTCATAATAGAAAATAAACATAAAAAGATCTAAATTATAAAGAACCAATTATAAAATTTACCCTTCTTTTTCTAACTTTTTTTCGTAGCAGGATTTGATGGAGGAGCTGGGAGTGTATGTGGTTCTGTTCGACAGAGCCGGGTACGGGGAGAGCGACCCGAACGATAAACGGACGCAGAAGAGCGAATCATCGGACATTGAGGAACTGGCGGATCGGATTGGGATTGGACCGAAGTTCTATGTGATCAGTAACTCGATGGGGTCATACCCGACGTGGGGGTGCCTGAAACGGATGCCGGAGAGGCTGTTGGGGGTGGCGATGGTGGTTCCGCCGGTGAACTACCAGTGGCCGTCGATCCCGGACATTCTCACCAAGAACGACGAGAGGAGGAATGTGTACCGGGTAATGCTCTGGATTGGGAAATACGCTCCCTGGTTCGGGCGTTGGTTGGCCGCCCGAAACCCGTCCAGAAATGACGGTAATTATAGCGAACGGGATCGGGAGCTTATTCGGGATGCTCCCAATGGCCATCACTCCCCAACTGCGGTAACATTTCCCTTTTTTTTCTACCACTATAATGCATTAATCTTCACTAGTCAAAGTTTTTCTTGGTCACTGGATTGTTGTTTTTATCTTCTAAATGTGTGTTTGTTTGGTTTGACATTTTAAGTACAATTAAATCTGACAAACGCACTGAAAGGGTGTATCTGGTTTGACAATGCAGGAGAAGCTAAAGGACGAAAGCGTGTACAAGAACCTGAGTTCGGATTTTGGGGCGGCGTTCTGCAAATGGGACTTCGACCCGTTGGAGATGAAAGATCCGTTCCTGGAGAAGAAAGGGAGCGTGCAGATATGGCAGGGTTGCCAAGACAAATTCATCAACGTGGAGTTGCAGAGATACGTTGCGAGAAGGCTGCCATGGATTCGGTACTATGAAGTCCCCGATGCCGGACATTGCCTCGTCTACGATGGTGTCATTTGTGAAGCCATCTTTAGGGCTCTTTTGCTCGGAGATGATCCTTGCAAGTTTCGCCCTTGTTAAAAACACAACTCCTCCTCTCGTCCCACCATATATAATAAAAGAAAATGGGCTTTAACCTTTTGTTTTCTTACTATATATGTAATGTTGTGTTATGTGATGGATTATGATTTCCATGATTTGTTCTCTTCCTTCCATCTTTACTCCACTTAGCTCCCATTGAAGTGAGCCACCAATTTACCACAAAACCAAATGAACTAGTCGCAATTTTAATATATCAAGCCAAACAATCAGTTAACTAACACTCCTAATAGGAAAAAAAAGACATTTGCCAGAAATACAGTTACAAAAACGCTAGGTTGTATGTACACCACGCTTGTCACATGACACTTGCTACAAACGTCCCAAAAACCAAAGAGAAGCACAAAGTTTCGGATGATGAGATCGAGAATTTATATGTGCAACCAATCCAATGATATGTAAACACAAATTAAGAGGCTGCAGGTTGAACGTCAACATCAAACTCAATGACATCTGAACCGCTCCCTGCGGTGTCACGAAGTTTGAAGATGCAAGTGTCACCCACTTTCAGATTGTTGCTTGCAACAAATCCGCTCCAAGCCCGAGTATGAATGCAACCATCTTGTTGTCTATCATACACCATGAGGCTACCTTGGTGTTCCTCACCACTCGGACCTTTCAGAGTCACTTTTGCTTTCTGAGGAACAAGCCCATTTGCCTTGCAAAACGCCGAGGGCAAATACTGAAACGCAATCGAGGCGAACAAACGTACACATTATTAAAGTAAGGTGAGCAAAAAAAAGGAAATAAAAGGAGTTTAGAAATCTTAAAAGTTATATACCAGGTAAGGGGTGTTATCAAGGATGTTGTAGCGCTTCATTGTTGAAGAAAATTGATGTTTCTTTGTAGGGTCACGACGACCAGAAGATTGACGCAGCCTGCGGTTCTTATTATTGTCCCGCTTCTGGTCGTCAAGTTTCTCATGTTTCATTCCATTGCAGACTTTCAGTTTTCTCTTCAGGTAGTTTGGATTCAGGTTCTGTCTCTGAGCCACATTTTCATCTTCTCCCTTATTAGCCTCCACTTTCACATCTTATATTGATCAAAGGGATGAAATTAATTGAATAATCATACTCTATATGTGTATATGCATGCAATGAGAATTTGAACATGCGGTACCGGGTCCCCCCGTGGAAGAATTGCAACGGCAAACCCTTGGTTCAAGTAAATAGCAATGAAAAAGAAAATAGTTTTTCTTCATTTTTTTTGTAAAATAGAGGAAATTAGGTTCTTCACAGAGCGTTTGTCATTCTCATTTTCTTTTTCTTATACTCCGTTACTTTTCTTTCCTTTCCCTCTCACTTCTCTAATCAAACAAGAAAAAATTATTTTCCATCTTAAACCGAAAATAATGTACATAAGTATGAAAATACTAATTATTCGTCTTTTAATACTCCCTCCGTTTCTTAAAACCCTTCCTCTTTCATTTTTTTGTTTTTCTTAAAACACTTCCCCTTTCTATTAAAAAACCACTTTTACCCCTTACTTTTTCATACCCTACCTATCACATCATACTTTTTTACTAACAACTAAACTATCACATCTTACTTTTACCCATCACATCAAGGGCAAAATTGGAAAGTCAACTACAATTTAACACTTCCTTATTTTCCCCCAAAGTCAAAAAAGGAACTCTTTTGAGAAACGGAGATAGTACTACTTAAATAAGAGTTTGCCGTTGTCAACTATTGTCACACTGTCATTTGTCACTACCACACTGTCATTTGACGCTATCGTCAAATGACAAATGCGAGAAAATATGAACAAAAATAATCAACAATCACGAGGAAGATAAAAATTTAATGATATGTGGTTTCTAACAGCCTGCCATGTTAGTAACCTACATGGACAAAGAGAAAACCTTTATTGATCAAGATTTTCTCAACAATTTATAGATTCTATAGATTGAGGAGTAGAGATACAAACTATACTTATAGGAAAAGGAATATGGGTAGCCCAAATACTACTACATACTCCCTCCGTTCCACAAAATCCTTCCTCTTTCGTTTTTTTTGCTTTCCACAAAACACTTCCACTTTCTATCAAAAAACCACTTTTACCCCTACTTTTTCATACCCTACCTATCACATCATACTTTTTCACTAATAACCAAACTATCACATCTTACTTTTTCCCATCACATCAGGGGCAAAATTGGAAAGTCAACCAAAATAACGCTTTCCTTATTTTTCTCCAAAGTCAAAACCGGAAGGGTTTTGTGAAACGGAGGGAGTATATAAAGATAAAAAATAGGAAAGATAAACATAATCTTAATCTTAGTCCTAATCATGATTAGTGTTGGGCATGGGTCGGGACAGTTTGAGTTTTATATCATCTCGCATCTTGTCCCGTTTTTTCAAACTGTTCATGCCAAAAGTGTATCCTTTTTTGTCCCTTAGTATTTGGGATTGGGGCAAAACAGAACAAGTTCGAGTTATCCTACTTTATCATTGTCCTAAGTTAGATATAAAAGTATAAAATATATAAGGGGGAGACAACACACAGCAAAGACTCATGGCCGTCTCGAGTGTCATCATTTGACACTGGAATCCAGTGCCAACGGAACCCCACCCAACTTACTTTGAGAGAGAGAGAGAGAGTATTACTTACCATTAGGACCATTATTACTAGGGCAGCCATTATCTCTCATGGGATCTAACTGAACTGTTGTTGTTGTTGTTGTCATATGATCGTCTTCATTGCTGGTGGTTTCTTGCTGGACGGGGAAACCTTTCTCGCAGCAAGTGGGGTCGAACAAGGTGACCTTGAAGATGAGGTTCCCCATGTGTTCAAAAACCAGAAAATCACCCAGTTGCAGGTCGTGCTCATCCACAAACCCTTCCCATCCATTACACGTGAATGAGAACCCACTGCCATTTTTGGATTTATGGATGTCCACTTCCGACATTCCTCTCCTGCTGATCAGCTTTACTCCTATTCTCCCTTCTTTCACCACCATATTAAGCTTCTCTGATATTATTGGGGGAAGGCTCTGTTTCATTAAATGCATTATATATATTCTTTTCAATATATAATTAATAAAATGCTTAATCAGTATAAATATATGCTATCTTTTTTTTAAAAAAAAATCTGGAATAATATAATATAATGCATATAAAAGGGAGTATTTAAGGTCGTACGAGCTGTGTGCGGAAGCTTGGCGCCGCCAACACTTTGAAGAACTTCGGAAGATCTCTCTGCATCTTTGTTCATGGAGTCGATCAGAAAATCTTAAAGCTCGATCGATCTTTTGTGGGTAATAATTAATTATGAATTAGTACTTCCAATTTTTATGCGGAGATGGATGGATTTAATTAATGGATCATTTGGGTGCCCGAGACAGTGTTATTATGATTGTGAATAAATAAATAATGAATTGAAGAGATCGAGAAGAGTATATGTCAAGTGTGATTTCATGTCTTTACATATTCCCGCTTTCCTTTCTTTCTTTTCGTTTATTTATTTATTTTGGTTTCCGATGGAAAGGTCCTATCCATTACCCCCACTACTACTACCTACGAGTGAGTACTTTCTTTCTCTCTTCCAAAAATATGTCTTGGTTATTATTCTCGTATTTCCATAACTATTGTTTAACTATGTTTTCAATGTCTATTTGTAATATTTTGTATGACAAATTATTATTATTATTATTATTGCAAATCTTGTTTTAAAGAATTATTTATGTAATTTTTACTATTATTTATTTACCAATTTGTAAAAAGAAAATTTCAAAAAAAAACATAAAATTTTACAAGTTGTTTTGAGAAAATAATTTTGGGACTAAGAGAACATATATAGATCGATAAGATTAACAATTCGGTCTGTTTTCGGCTTTTCGCAATATTTCCAATGTTAATGAAAAATAGGAACCTTTGTAGCCCGGATAGTATAGAATTTTACTTTTTACCTTTGATCATCTTATTTTTTGGTAGCTCTCATATTCATAAATATAGTATCTGTTCAATCATATAATCTGAATCTCAACATTAAATGTGGAGGAACTTGAGATGACCTCCTTGTCCAACTTGATGCTACATTGACGAACTTCTCTTATTATTATCACTTTGGTTCCCATGACATTGGTTCCCAATGTCATGGGAACCTTCCCCTATTATTATATATAAGTATAAAGAATATATGCAACATGAATATTTTCTCTGAGATAGAAATGGCATACAATCAACAAAAAAATACTCCCTTCCGTCAACACGCAAAGAACATTGAATTTTTTTATCACTACACATTGTTTGGTTGGTGAGAAAAAAATGACAAAAAAAAGGAAGATGAGAAAACACATGTTTCAATATAATTTCTCATGTTTGGATGAGAAAGAAAAAAGTGAAAAAAATTGTGTGAGACCCATGCCAGAAATTTTCTCATCAACATGGTTGTGAACACCATACATAAAGATCGAAGACATGCTCAAACTACAAAATTGCCATTATTCTTCTCTTTTCTCTCCATTTTTTTATTATTTTTCTATCCAGACAATATTTTTTTTCTTCTACTTTCTCATTATTTTCTCTTCTCACCATTTTCTTTCTTTTTATTTTCCTTTCACATCCAAATAAAGGCTTAGTTTAAGAAGTTAGATTGCTATATACGGAGTATAAACGGAGTATTCTAGACTCATTAAAATACTAAATACAGTCCACTAACTTACAACAGCAATACCACACTCGTGCGTTACACAATTCGTATTTATGTTATTAAGTTATATTAGGATCATTATTGGAGAATACAAATTGGTATATAATGGAATATAAAGTTTTTCAATATATTAAAGGATGAATACCAAATGGATTACAAATGTTGAAAAAATTCTTTATAAACTACATTATTGGTACAATATGTGAAAAGTCATTACGATTTGTTACTCGATCTTGAAACTCTAATATAGAGTTATTCATCTTAATACGTACCAATTTTGTAACAATAATAATCATACGTGTTTTAGAGATTAGCCCTGGTTTTTGTTAATTGTCATTACATATGAAGTAACTATAGGAAATTGTCTTCTTTAATTTAAAACTTGAACAAAATTCTTGTATTATATGGTGTCAATGATAATCTTGAAATAACAACCACTTCATCTATGTATTTATGTACACAAATACGTATTTATTATTTATGTTACCATTTATATATTTATATATATTCGGTTTATGATAGTCTTGGAATAACAACCACTTCATCTATGAATGTTTATATATAATCGATTTCAGATCTAATCAGTCGGATCTAATTGGTTTGGGTTTTTAACTCGTGATGCAAATGTTTTGTTCAATTTTAGTTCGGATTAGATCATTTCGGCTATTCCATTATAAATCAAATCTTCATTTTCCGGATCATTTCAGTTTTGATTTCGGATCATCTGGTTCAGGTAATTAGTGTTTTTCTAGGTCTACTACAAAATATAGCCATTTCATATAAAGTGTTTCTCTGTGTTGGTGCTTAATGACATATTCTTCATAAGTAGTTTTTAACATATAAGCTATTTATAAGTTCGAATTTCTTGTGTAAATAAAATGAGTTAAATGATATAAAAGTCATTTGAGGATATTAATAATAAGTGAGAGAATGTTTTGTAAGTAATCTAGTCAAAACGGATAAATGAGAAAATTGGTTAAAAATAAATTAGTAAGACCTACTTATTTTTTAACTTATAAGCAACTCATAAGTGAGCTTATAAGCATTCAGAAACACGTCATCTACTGACTTATAAATTAAAAATAGTTTATAAGCAATTTTGACCATGTTATAAATAGGGAGAAAGTCTCGGTTATGAACACGAAATATACATTATAATATAATTTCACGGTGGATCATGTCACCCGAAGAATGTCAATATCAATTGCAGTGCAACCTAGAGAGGTGTTGCGGGGTTTCACGACGCATGTGTCTCCTATTTTAAGTTTGTTCATTACAATAAACTGATCCCAGCCCTTGCATAGGCAAGAGCATCTATTACCGCGCAAGAAGTTAACTTGGCACTCCCCACTCGGCCCTTTCACTCTTACTCTTTTGTTCTCATTCAGCCCATTTGCTTGGCAAAAGTCTCGATACAATGGCTGCAATCAAAACGCACATGGTAATTATACATATGAATGTTATATCCTCAGCTATCACAGATATTGATTTTTAAGAGATTTAAGGAGATTATATTATAGTGTTGAATTTCTAAAAATATCTTTAGATGTGATGGGTAAAAAGTAGGATTCGATGGGTAGATTAATTGTGAATAGATGTGTTGTGAGAAGTATTAGTCGGGGTAAAAGTGACTTTTTAATAGAAATGAAAAAAGTTTTTTGAGACGAATGAAAAGAGAAAGAAGAAATATTTTCAGGGAGGGAGAGAGTATAAAGAAAAGGCAAATTCTATGAAGTGTTAAGTTAATGATGCAGAGATGTAAGGTATTGTGGTCATATTCCAGAGAATTTTACTCTAGCTATTTGTGTCAAAATGAAGTTTCCGTTCACCATTCATAATGCCAAAATTTTATAAAATTTTGTTGATAATTTGATAAAATTGAAGTTATACCGTAATAATGGAATACCTTATTACGCAGCAAGTCAGGAACAAAGCCTTTAAATTCCATCCAATGTGTGCCTCATTAAAAGTCATAAACCTAGTATTTGCAGATGATCTTATTATTGCAAGCAAGGCTAATGTTGAATCTGTCCAAAGTATTATGGACACACTAGAGACTCTCAGAAAATGTACTGGCCTCATGATAAATAAAGTTAAGTCTCAGGTGGTGTTTGGGGATTGTAATGAGCAGATTCAAGGTAATATCTTGGGTGTAACTAAAATCCAAAAGGGGGAGTTACCCTTCACATATTTGGGAAGCCCAATCACTGCCTCCAGACTCAGTAATATAAGGACTGTGACAAGCTAGTAGAAAGTATTACAGCAAAGATTACAACTTGGAAATCTAAACATATATCGTATGCAGTAGGGTGAACCTGATCAACACTGTGCTTATGGGGGTAATCACCTTTTGGGCAAGAATTTTCATTTTACCAAAAAAAGTGTTGGAGAGAGTGAATGCAGTGTGTAGGAACTTCCTATGGGGTGCATCTGTAGAATTTAAGAAAGTCCCTCCAGTAGAATGGAAGGAGGTATGCATGCCAAAGAGATTCAGAGGGTTGGGTATTCGAAATATGATTCTCTGGAATAAAGCCATAATCATGAAGCTTAACTAGGACATTGCAAAAAAGGACATTCTATGGGTACAGTGGATTCATGCAAGGTACTTGAAGAATACCTCTTCGTGGGACTATATTCCTAATCCTAATTGTTGCCACTATTGGAAAAGAATGATTAAAATCACACATGAATTTGGAGGGATGAGCAAAAATGAAGAATATAACTAGGGGTGGGCAAAAAAACCGAAATAGCAAGTTATCATACCGGACTGTAATGGTACCGAACCGTTTATAGTGTTTTCAAACGTGATTGATTTTTTTTCATCATGAACCGATACCAAATGGGACATGACCGTGATACATATATTTAAAACTGATTATCACGGACCGAACCGTCCAACGCTATATACGGAGTACGTATCTAAAATAATTATGGAGTATTTGTCTACTTCATCTTACCGTATATATAGAATACTTCGTATTTTATTATTCATTTTCAAACTCTCTCATTATTATTGTTGTTATTATATTTATCATTACTATTAGCATTATTTTTTATAGTTATTAGTATTCCGATATTAAATGAATTGGAAAAAATATTATTTTTTAATTTTGGACTCATTATCTTTTATTCTTTATGTTTTTGATCCATTTAAATTTGAAATCAATGCTTTTATTTAACAAATTTGTGCCTTTTATACAAATTTATACATTAAATTCAAAATTCTTTGAGTAATGTACATTCATTTTTTTGGCACGGTTTGAGCATGGATATGGTATTGTACTGTTCCGTTTCAAAATGAAATGGTACCGAATGGTTTTGGAGTTCATCCCGTATC